GATGGTCCTGGATAGAATGGAATAAATATTTAGAATAAAACTCAGATTTCCAAAAAAAAAAAAAGGCAGACTCTACTAATACAGACTAGAGGAAACCCTGAGACTATCACCCTGAGATAGCCTTCAAACTTGGAACTAAAGCCACTCTTGGAGGTCACCTTTCAGCCAAATAATAAAGTGGCTTATAAAATAAACAATATCACTCGTGAGTACTGTGTATCTTTAAATAATCATCCATAAGAGACAAAACAGTCAACATTTACCCTAAAGCACAGATGAGATGGTATACAGGAGGCAGGAAAGCTAGATTAATGGAAACAGAACAACCAGAATAGAAATAATGAGTATGCTGTCACATTGTGAAATATGTAACCAATGTCACTGAACAATATGAACAGAAATTGTTAAATGGAAATCTAATTTTCTGTGTAAACGTTCACCAAAAAGAAAATTTAAAAAAAAATTTATCAGTTGACTACTATGTGTCAGCACTATTCTAAGCATTGGGGATAGAAAACTAAATTGAAAAGCAAGTTTCTGCTCTCTTGTAGCTTACATTCTAGGGATATTTTCATTAAAGAATTCTTAGTAAGGCACAGTTACTCAACAGTAATATTTTAATTAGTACCGGAAATTTGTCAAAAGGGAAAAAAATTATTTTCATATAATTAATCCTCACTGTGCATAATACTACAACAGATAATGATGAAACTTTCAGAAGTATATCATTCTAATTAATTCACCACCATGCCATAAATAGATACATAAATTTCAGCTGCAAAAATTGAATAGGGAAATAATTTAGTGCCTTGCCCTCAAATACCAACTGCAAATCATAATCTAATTAAATCACTGTCTCTTTAACAGCTTCTCAGTCTTCTCTGACAAACCTGCTCCTCTCAACCCAATTATTAGGTAATAGACTCATTCAACTACCTCATCCAGAAATCAGGGTCAGCCTAAATATTGCATTAGTGATAATGGTAAAGCTCCCTCTTACTTTCCACTGATTTAAGAGAGCAATGCTTATTTGGAAAGTATCTAGGATCCTCCAAAACTCTCCTTAATTTATTTTCTAGGTTCAATTTCAACAAGTTTCTTCAACAAATAATAAAAGGTGACCCATTAACACAAATGAAGCATAAACAAACCTTTACTACAGGTGAACAATTTTGAGTTCATATTTAGAATAACCTCTAGTACCTGGAGGCTCTGGTGGGGTAGTGCCTAAGGCATTTTACTGCTAAACGGAAGACTGGTGGTTCAAACCCACCAGCCACTCCTCGGAAGGAAGACTGGGCAAGCTACCTTCATAGAGATATCACCTAGGAAACCCAAGGAGGGGTCACTGTGAGTTGGAATCAACTCCATGGCAGTGAGTTTTCGGCAGCGAGTCCACTAACTGGGATGTTTGGAAGCATGTGATCAATACAATTTAACATTTTCAGACCATTTAACCTAAAAGTTAGTAATGTTACCATTTAAATCAATGACATAGGCCCAGGCAATCCTAAATAACATCATACTTAAAGTCATAAACAATAAATCAAGATAATTAAGTTCAACAAACTAGAAAAGCATGAGAGTTGGAGTAAAATAAAACCAAAAAAAAACCCACTGCGTTGAGTCGGATCTGACTCATAGCAACCCCTACTTGGGTTTATAAGGTGGTATCTCTATGGAAATAGATTGCCCAACCTTCTTTCTGAGGAGTGGCTGGTGGGTTTGAACCATCAGCCTTCTGTGTAGCAGTCAAATGCCTTAGGCACTATGCTACCAGAACTCTCAGAGTTGGAGTAGAAGGTGACATTTTCTGAGTGTGCACTATTTCCCAGGCATTGTTCTGAGTACTTTGTGTATTAAGTCATTAAATTCTCACGTAATTTCTGTGTGTAGGTAACACTGTACTTTACAAATGAGGAATTAAGAGACACAACAATTTGAGAAAGTTACCTAAGGTCTTATACTAGTACATGGTGGACACAGTAGAGAGGCATCCTGTAAGCTTGCCTACTCTCTTGCTCATTACCTATAATTCCCCATCAAATCAGGCATAACACCATCAGTTATTCTTGATTGTTCATCCTGCCCTTTGCCCTGACCCAGGTGCTGATCTTCTCACATTGCTCTCCTTATTCATGAGCAAGAGCAAAGAATGTATCAGGTCATACATTGATTTTGTCAATTGTAATTTGAGTGAGTATCACACATATATGCATTTAATTATCCTTTAATTATTTCACATCATATGATTATTCTATTCTCACATGCTTAATCTAACTTTCTCCAAGTATGCTGCATAGTTCCAAGAAAACAGTAAGCAAAAAATACATGTTGTTTCTCCTGCCCCATAGCACATAGATACTTTACATATATCACTTTATTATAATCCCAATTGCTAACATTTATTGAATGCATACTACGTGCAACACTGTGTTACTTTTTAGATCATTATCTTATTCACTTCCCACAATATTTCTATATTATAGATAAGGAAACTGGGGCTCAAAAAGATTATGTCCAACAGTGTATTACCATACATTGGAACACAAATTATCTAATGCCAGCACCCATAGCCCCTCTAATTGTAATATGTGGTACTCCCTCCTGGTGTTATTCTACTTTACTTAATAAACTGTAAGTTCTCTGGAAATCAGATGTGTTTTATAATCTTTATTTAATAAAACTAGCTATTGAGTCTTATTTCAATTTCTTTACTACTCAATCTGATTTTAAGTTTTCTTTTTTCTTAAAAAAGGGATGATGTTATGTGAGAACTTTTAACCTTGATTATAATCTGAAGATTTAATGTTAGCAATTGTCATATGAAGTAAAGTTCTTTCTATAATCTTGAAATATGACTACTTACATTGCCGGCAAGAAAGCTGCTTGCCCTATATAATATATTCATCCTTGTGTTAAAGTCAAGTCAAGAAACTTACTTGTAAGAAATTTTTATCCTTATGGCAGTATATAGCCAATGTGCATATCTAAGGCTCTTACAGTTTGGGCTATATAATTCTAGTTTCCTTAAAAAGGCTTTATAGGTTTCCTACACATTTTGTCCTAAAATTGATATTAAATTGCCCTCACCGATACACAGAGCCTCCATTGGTTAGAGAATCTTTCAGAAATGGGTCAGAGAGTAAAGCTCAAAGTTTTACTACAAATGTTATTCTTGGAATCCCAACAGATTCCACAAAGCTTTGGGAGCTACAATATACAGCACAATAGCACTGCTATTCTTGTTACTATTGTTAGTTGTCATTGAGTTGGCTCTGATTCATAACAACCTTATATATAACAGAATGAAATGTTGGTATGTTTGACTCCATATACTTTGAATCCAATAGCTACACATGGGTTAAATAGAAGCTTCCAAAATTTAGCATTTAACTTATTTTTAAAACATGATTTCTAAGAGATATCCTGCTTATAGTCGCCTTACAAATAAACTTTTCAAAGATGAGGCTTTTAAATTTAGAGCTGTATGCTAAGCAAATAATCTGAAAAGTCTGATTATATGAAGAATGCAACAGCAGGACTGAAGGAAGATTCATTAACAACCTTAAATAAGTGGATGACACAACCTTTCTTGCTGAAAATGAAGAAGCCTTGATGCACTTACTGGTGAAGATCAAATACTACAGCCTTCAGTATGGATTACACTTCAACATAAAGAAAACAAAAATCCTCACAACCAGACCAATAAGCAACATCATGATAAATGGAGAAATACAGTGAAGTTGTCAAAGATTTCATCTTACTTGGATCCACAATCAATGCCCATGGAAGCAGCAGTCAAGAAATCAAATGACGTATTGCACTGGGCAAATGTGCTGTAAAAGATATTTGTAAAGGTGCTCTGGTTACCTAGTGCCACTATGACAAGAATATACCACAAATGGGATGGCCTCAACAAGCAGGAGTTTATTCTCTTACAGTTTATTGGCTTTAAGTCCAAGTTCAAAGTGCCAGACTCTAGGGGCTGGGTGAAAGTCCCTCAGCCTTGGGCTTCAGCTCTGCCTCCAGCTCCTGGCCCACTGAAGCTAGAGGCTTTTCTTCACTCAAACAGCTGTTGGCTGCTGAGGCTGCCAAGCCCAAGGTTGACAAGTAAAACAGCACATCCCAATATTACCAAATCACACGCCAGCCCATTAGTTCAAGTCCATTATTAGTCCCAAGGTCGGCAGAGCATGGCAGGGTGCTGAACAATGACACAGCTACATGCAAGGTCCAAGAATGCTATAGGCTAGAGACCATTCCCAAGGCTTCTCCTTATATACAAGAAGCAGACCACATCCCAAAGGTAGCTATTCAGCTGCTTGTGGTAGATCCCACCATGGAGTTGATTGCCAGTCACCTCATGGAAAATAACTACTATCAGCTGCCCAGCCACACAACCAGGCCCAGCCAAGCTGACACACAAACATAACTACCACAAAAGGGTTAAAAAGCAAAGATGTCACTTTGAAAGCCAAAGTGCACCTGACCCAAACCATGGTACTTTCAATGGTCTCATATGCGTGAGAAAGGTCAACAATGAGTAAGGAAGACCAAAGAAGAACTGATGCATTTGAATCATGATGTTGGCAAAGAATAGTAAATATACCATGGACTGCTAGAAGACCAAACAAATCCATCTTGGAAGAAGTACAACCAGAATACTCCTTAGAAGAGAGGATGGTGGGGGACCAGTCCCTGGAGAAAGATATCATGGTTGGTAGAGAGTCAGAAAAAAGAATAAGATCTTCAACAAGATGGATTGACACAATGGCTGTAACAGTGGGCTCAAACATAGCAGTAATTGTTGAGTATGCCATAGGACCAGGCAATATTTTGTACTGTTGTTCATAGGATCACTATGAGTCAGAACCAACTCAACAACACCTAACAACGACAACATACTATTTTATAGACCTTTCTATGTTCAGTTCTAAATTTATCATCTTAGAAAACCTAAGTCTAATAATAATTATAACACACTAATGTATACTTACTTGGGCGATCCTGCACTTTCTCTATTAAAGTAGAGTTGAGCAGTTCAATAAACACAGATTCTGATCCTTCTGGTTCATCATCATCCAAAATCGAAATAGTTATTGTTGCCTCATTCTGGTTAGCTCTGAAAATAATAAACCCAGAAGTCGGTATGTAGTCTCTTCCTTGAGTCGCTCTGGCTAAATTAGGTGGAAAATAATGTGCTGTTCCCATATCATCCATTGTTGCGTATGTAACTATGACTTCTCCTATGAGGCCTTTCAACCTTATTACTGACAATGTGATGTTCTGGGTTGCTTCTTCAACTTCAATAGGTCTATTTTTTTCAGAGAAGATGAATACCCCATAAGGATCATCACTTGCCAAAATTGTCAATGTGGCATTAGTATGAACTCCTAAAGAGCCACTGGAGACACTGAGGATTGACACAGACAATGTCTTATCCAGTTCTGGGTCTTCATCTGGCAATATTTCCACTGTGATATTGGCACTCTTCTGCCCAATCTCAAATGTAATGTTGCCAGAGGTGAAGGCAAGATCTCCATCCAGATCAGAGTCTATGTTCCAATACAAAGTCACCTGAGACAGAGCTCCATGACTTCTCATAACCTATGAAATATTTAACATTAAAAGGTATTAAAAGAAGGATTAAGATAATTGACATAGAGATTAAATACATACTGTAGTAACATTAAATTTTTATATTTTATATAAGCTGTTCTCAAGACTAAAATTACTAAGTAATCACTGAAGCAACAAATTGATTAAACATTTTTAGTTTCTAACTAAATTATGGGAGCTCTGGTAGCATAGTGGCTAAGGCACTTGACTGCTAACCAGAAGGCTGGCGGTTCAAACCCACCAGCCACTCTTTGGAAGGAAGATGGGGCAATCTACTTCCGTAGTGATACTGCCTCAGAAACCCAAGGAGGGGGCAGTATGAGTCGGGTCCAACTTGATGGCACATAACAACAACAACAACAACTAAATTATAGCTGGATCTTTTCTGTAATTCTAATATATTTAGTAATAAATCACATATAATTAACAGTTCATTATATTTAACCATACTCAAGGAAATTTTTACATTCACTCCATATAAGCTATATACTTTATTGTAAGAAATAGATGAGTGACATTTTCCTGAAAAGTTAGCTGTAAAATATTTTTTAACGAATCATATTTCCTTTTATCTTCAATACAATATGAAAAATAAAAATACATAAAAATGTATTTGACTCAAGTTATAATAAATACATTTAAGAAGGAAGAAATGCTTTTGTCAATAATATGTTAAGATTCAAAAGCTTAAAAATTACTCCAAATAAGTCTCAATTAAAAGTAATTTTTCCATGAATTTAAAACATGAATGTTAACTCAAGATAAAACTAGACATAAGAATTTTTACAATGGGAAAAACAAAATCATGAAAAACATATTTAGCCTAGGGTATCATAAACACACTTAAGAAGGAAAAAATATTTTTGTCAATAATATGTTAAGAATGAAAAGTTTAAAAATTACTTCAAATAATCCCCAATTAAGAATAATTTTTACATGTATTTAAAATACAAATTTATCAAAATAAAATTAGATGTAACTTCATTTAGAGTAACTAGTTATTCTTTCTATAATTGTTTCATCCATTCTACAATAGTTTATTGAAAATCTACCAAAAGAGTAGTAAAGGGATATATTTTGGGAAATTTTTTTTCATTAATTGCATGAAACCAGAAGCTAGGTGAATTTCTAGCACTTCAGATTCATTTCACAACAGAATCCTGCTTCATTTCCACTTGGAGCAAAGCAAACATACACACACACAGAAAGAGTTGTTATTATTATTGCTGTTGAAAATGTTCTGAATTTCCATTCCTTTCAGGAAATAAAAAGAAGATGTCTGTGAGGATACAAGCACCTGTTAAGATGTAGCCTAGCCTTTGTGATTCTTGATCCCTAAGTGATTACAATGACAGAGTCCCTTGTCAACTTAAATGACACATCTATCATAGGTGAAAAAGTGTGGAAATGTTTGTTACCACAGCCTATATAAACCAATACAAAAATGTATGTAAAAAAGACTTTTGGTATAAGATAAATCCACAGCAAAACTAAATACAAAAACAAATGCCAAATCACTATTTAATTATCAATTTGTATTATCTGTGCCATCCGGCTTATTCTCTTTCACCTATTCAGGAAAAAAAAAGAAAAAGGACACATTTTCATAATACAGTAAAACAGCTTTAAAAGAACATAAAGTGTCCTGAAATGAAAGAGGAAACTGTACTCACATTTAATGTAACAGTGCTGTGCCCATCTTCCGGTTCAGTTCCACTGACAAAGAGTGACACAGGACTAAATTCAAATACACCATGAGCATGGTCAGAGGCCGCAATTGTCACTAAAATCTGGGAAGCAACTCCTAGACTGGCTGCATGAACAATTTCCAACAAGAAAATGTTCATTAGTAATTTACAAATCAAAGGAAAAGCCAAAGAACAACTTTTTCAAAAGAATCATTCTATTTATTAAGTTCCAATTTGTTTTAGAAGAAGGAAGGCACAAAATTTTGACACAGATATTCATGCTTTATGACCTCTGCCAATTTTGGCACCAATGGGATATACAAGTGCTACATAAGTACTAGGAGACGATGAAGGAAAACTTGTCTTTTTCTTTTTCTTCTTGATGGAAGAGAACATTCTTCCACATGGAATATATTAGGAAGATCTCCCACGACCTTCACTGAACACAGAACATGAGCCAAAATGACTCTTACCTTTATGAAACAGTAGCTTCTCTGTAATTCTAGACCACATAACAACAACAACAACATTTTATCATTACATTATGACATTATAGATCTACCTCTCTTGGTCCTAAATAAGAAAACACTGTAGCTAAAAATATGTCAGTATCTAAAGAAATATCTATGATTTTTCTAGGTATGATCAAGTGTAAGTTGTATTTATGTAAGGAGAAAAGAAAACAGACAATTTCAAAATAAATAGAGTAATTAATACAGAGGTTACATGAGGCATTGAAGGAAGTTAGGAATGAGAAGAGGGACAAAATATGGATCCTGACACTAAAATATAAAACCTGATGCTGTGAAAAAGGAACACCTGAGGTTCATTAGTGTTCTACCTCAAGAAACAAGTGTTCTAAAATTCTCTTCCAATATGGAAAAATATGTTGGGGTAAAAAGTTGAATCATGTTTGTATATGAATACACATCAAAATTCCTCTTCTTTCCAATATTCCCAGCTTAATCTCTCAATAATTCCCTTCCCATTTGTTTTGGTTAAATACTACATGTAAGAACTCATCATTCTTTTTGTACAAAAAATAAGCTTGATGCATTTACAATGAAAACGTAAATGTATTATTTTTCTCCTTGTAGAGTAGTCACCTACCTACTGTCATTGAGTCAATCCTGACTCATAGTAAACCTTACAGGACAGAGTAGAACTGCCCTGTAGGGTTTCTAAGACTATAAATCTTTACAGAAGCAGATTGCCTCATCTTTGTCCATGGAATGCCTGATGGGTTCCAACTGGCAACCTGTTGGTTAGCAGCCCAATGCTTTATCTATTGTGCCACCCAAACTCCTTTTATGGTGTCAAAACTATATAAAGTCATTTTCATTATTTGGTATTTAAGCAAAATTGCACAATTCTTAGCCGAAATAAAGCATAAATTTTATTTAAAAATCAAATTGTACCTATTCTGGAAAATTAAATCAATCTTATTTCAAAGTATGACTGCAAATTATTTTTCATTTTTACTAAAATTAGGATCAGGAAAATGCACTAGGTTAATGGAAGGAGGAGTGTCTGGTTTCAGAGGCAGGCAGGGATTTGATTCTAACTTCTTCCCTTTCTGGGTGAATATAACAAGGACACAACAGTGCTGTATAAAGTTACAGTGATGGTTAAATGAGCCAAAATATGTAAACAGGATCTACATACAGTATATGTTAATAAATGGAAATTATTGTCTTTAAAGCAGGAAATTAAAATGAAAAGTGATAATAGCAAAGGGCCTTGGAACAACTGCTTACCACATTTATGAATAGTTGGAAGGAAGAATTCCATGTCCCCATCACCACTACCACTGCCATCAACCCTAAAGAGTTCAGCCACTTCATAAGGAGATAAACAGAGACACAACCCATACAACACACATTGACACAGTGAGAAAATTGAGAGTTCTAAAAACATAACAAGCAAGGAGGAAAATGCAGTATTATTCACCCAATGACAAGCATTAATCTATAGAAAATAGATTATTTTAAATGGTAAAAGTATAACGGAAGCAAAGTCACCAATTTACCAAAACGTCATTTAAGCTTCAGGAAATACTCCATGTAAGTTTTAACTGGAATTTCCCACTTGTGCCAATTTAACTGATTTTATTTTTAAATTTTCACTTATTTACAACAATGGAAATTGTTTTAATTTCAGACATTTTTCTAATATGTCTGTACATATGTGTGTGTGTGTGTGTATAGTTGTTGTTGTTGTGTGTCATCGAGTCGGACCCGACTCATAACGACCCATCCTTGGGTTTCTGAGGCAGTATCACTACGGAAGTAGACTGCCCCATCCTCGGAAGGAAGATGGGGCAATCTACTTCTGTAGTGATACTGCCTCGGAAACCCAAGGAGGGGTCGCTATGAGTCGGGTCCGACTCGATGGCACACAACAACAATAACAAATATATATATACACATACACACACACACACACATTTATACATATATTTAGGCCTGTATATCTATAAAAGTTACCTTACCACTCTGAACAACTGATTTAAAATTAGGGAAATGTCTAATATTTCCCTCTACCCACACATTCAAATCTCCACCATATTTATTAGTCTCAAATTTGAAATTTGATCACCCTTTTACCACTGGCATTGTAAAAAGAGCCCTAAATAAGCAGTCTAGAAAACTCTATTTCAGCCCCAGCTATGATATATACCAGCTGTACAACCTTCAGCAAGTCATTCACTACTCCTCTTAGTACCTCAGTTTAAAGAAGTTATCTTTTCTAGAACTTTTGGAAAGATCAAATAACATAATGGAAAATAAGTAACACTGTAAAAATATAAAGTACCTTGGCAACAGATAATGAATATAATAAAGAAAAAGAGGTTATACTTTCATCTCTAATATATTTTGTACCCTGATTGTTATCTTATCAAATGTCTGCAAATAAAGACTAAGGGCAGTGATGATAGCAAAAGAAAAGGAGTCATAAAAGCAACTCATATCCTTACATAAGTGCTTCTACCAATATCCTTGGTCTGCCATTATGCTAGTTTAATATCTGCCCTGCTCTTCTATTTCTCCCTCAGTAGGAATGGAATATATCAGACTTAAAAGACAAAAACAAAATCCCAGGGACTACCCAGTCACATGATTTTGCTCCCATATTATCCAGAAGTCATGAGAAAGTGTGGTGAAGGACAATACCAGTGTAATTTGGCTACACAGAATCAGAGAAAATGTGCCTTGTTTTCCCTCAAAAGAATTGAGCTCTACACATTTTTCATTTATTAGGAAGTCTCTACCTATGACTACTGAGGACTCTACAATAAGAAGCCAATGTCTAGATTCCTTCACCTCCAATCCCTACAAAAAATACAAAAAAAAAAAAAAACCTCATTGCCACTGAGTCAATTCCAATTGATAGTGACTCCTATTGCGTTTCCAAAGCCAAAAATTTTTATGGAAGCAGATTTCCCCATCTTTACTTCACAGAGCAGCGGTTGGTTCAAGCCACTGACCTTTTGGTTACCAGCCAAATGCCTTAACCACTATACCATGAGAGTTCCTCCAATCCTGCTAATGGGGTAAAATCAAATTCTTCACTGTTATTGTTTACTAAAGAAACATAAGATTGGTTCTCAAATAACTATTCATGCATAAGTACCATAGAACAGTATATATTCTGCATATGGAGAAAAGATTTTACATAAAATTACTACTATCACAATGATCACAAATATAATTTCTGAAGCATATTTGATGTTCCTTAATTAACTCTAGATAAGATGACTAGCATCTGTTTATAATAAAGAGACGGCTATAATTGACACAAAGAACAACTTTTCAAATATTTTATAAGGACTTTTCTATTAATTAAACTCCTGACATGAAAATGATGATTTGGAAATGTGAAGATTTCTCTCTGGAAGAAGCAAAGCTAGTATTTTTACATGACACCTGACAAACAGGTCATTCAGCACATTTTCACTGCTGCATGCATTCAGGCAAGCTGTAGCAGTGTAATCGTCTGTCTTCCTGCTCCCAAATATTGGCCCAGTCTCTTTTGTTTTTACCTGGGCCTTGGAACATGGAAGATAAATTTGGGGAAATGTTGTACAAAAATCAAAAAACAAACCCATTCCTATTGAGTTGATTCCGACTCACAGCAACCCTATACAACAGAGTAGAACTGCCCCATGGGGTTTGCAAAGCTGTAAAAGCTTTACAGAAGCAGATAATCACATTTTTTTCCCATGAAGCGGCTGGTGGATTCAACCACTGGCCTTTCAATTAGCAACCAAATGTTTAAACATTGCACCACCAGGGGTCCTTAAATGTTGCATTTATATCACAAATTTCCACTTAACCTAAAACAAAATTTTAATATTTCTGACTACCCAAACCTCTCCCTTTGTGTGAATTATTTATTAGTATGAGGTTTTTTGTTTTGTTTTGATCAGAATGATATTCTGTAATAATGATACAGGTCATGTAATAGAAGGGACAGTTCTGGTGAATAACCAGAATACCACCCTCAATTTCTTATATTTATAAAAGTAAAAAAGTGTACATAACATGTATTCTGTAACACTTGCAGTCGAAACCCAAACCCACTCAGCAAACCTACAGGAGCAAAACTGCTCCACAGGATTTCCAAGGCTATAAATCTTTATGGAAGCAGACTGCCACATCTTTCTCCCATGGTATGGCCAACCTATTAATGAGCAGCCAAGTGTTTTAACCATGGCACCAGAAGGTCTCCTGACACTTCTAGTAGTACTCTATAATTAAACACATGACTATTTCTGCAAAGAAACAAATATAATCATTTTAAATAGGGTAAATAAGATTATAAATGTTTTCACATCAACTCAAATGAGCTTTTGCCACAAAATGAGCTTTGAATCCAAAAACCTCTGCTATTGGGCAATCTACTTCTGTAGTGATACTGCCTTGGAAACCCAAGGAGGGGTCGCTATGAGTTGGATCCGACTCTATGGCAGTGTGTTCTGTTTGCATTGCAATTGAAGATAAGGTATTGTGAACCTATTCTGAACCTGTTTTATTGATAATAGAGTTTTAATAGATTATCTAAGCAGGACCAGTTTTAAACCTATGCTATACATGGAGATACTTCTAAAGTGAAAATAAGAATAAAGAAAAAAGGACAGAGGGGACTTTAGAGGCACCTAGTATGAATGAAATCGATTTGATGGCAGTGAGTTTGTTTTTTTGTTTTTTTTTTGTTTTTGTTTTTTAGTATGAATGACACTATAATTTGGTGGCTCAGTAAAATTCTACTATTTCATTCTAAAGGATATCTACTTTAAGAAAAGAGCAATGGGTAATAAAAAGAACAAAACAGCACAAAAAGTGATGGCTATCTAATAAACATGTAATATAGGAGAGATTTTAATTCAGAATTATCCAAACTTCACAGCAATAGTATGTACAAATAAAACTATAAGTTGAATTTTAATTTATAAAATCAATACTAAAATACTATGTAAAGTGATAGACACTTTTTTTTTCCAATAAAAGGACTATCAATGAATCAGAAAGTTTCCACCACAATAAATCATAAGCAATTATTAATCATCAACCTGCTGTCTCCAAAAAATTCTCATTCATTCATTAAAAACAAAAAAGAGGTAAGGTTAATTCAAAGGAACATATTTCCTAATTAGAATCTACTGTCACCATGGCCAGTGGGAAAGCAAATACTTGAAAACTCTGAGTCAATAGGCTTACCTCCTCCTTCTGAATTTAATAACTCAACTTTAAAAGATTTTTCCAGTTCAGGGATAGAATTATCAGTGATGTTGACAGAAATGTATTTATATCTTTCTCCTGGTTGAAATTCTAAGGTACCAACAACACTCTGAAATACAAATGAAAGAAAGATTTTCCCATTAAATTATAATAATTATTCTGTATATGATTTTACAATGTGAGAATATTTGCTGTGTCCCAAATTATTACATACTGAAACAGAGGAACATAAATAAAAACTAAAATTGAAAATATTTAGTGGCTATGAATGATGTTCAATACAAATGCTAAAAAAATCTAAGTAAATTAATTGGAAAGATTTTATTTTCTTATTTACCTACTCATCCAAAAAGTGGTCAAAGCAAATGAGAAATCTTAATAGATTCCTAAAGAATTAATTCAATGAGATGTAAATAATTTTCCTGATCAAATATATCAAGAACTGTTAAAATTACAGCATTGAGAAATTTAAATTTTCAGTGAATAAGAAATGGTATTTTCATTCAGCAAATCTCTCTACACAATGATAAAAATCAGTCTATTAGGCATTAACCTTTCCTTGAATATACTTGGAATAGTAATTCATAAAATAGGTTACCTTTCAGAACAGCTCAATTTAAAAAGGAAAATAAAGTTATTCAAAATCAAAGTTTTAAGGTCCTTTTTTTCTCCTGTAATCTCTTATGTAAGAATTTTTTCCTCTGGTTAGTAAGTTTCAAGACTATGTAAATTTTTCTACTGTTAACTTGTGTGGGCAACTGTATTTCATTTTGGGAAGGTATTAATTAGTGATCATAAAGTTAAATTGAGGAATCCAAGTACCAAATTACTTAATGACTCATTCATTCACTTTTTCAATATTTGCCAAGCTCATAGCATGTCATGAAACCATTTTAGAAGTTTGGGATGCAAGCTAGAAGGTAAGTACCAGATGGTGGGGATTACCTGCAATTCGTGACACAAGAATAAGGTTAGGAACAGTGACAATTCAGTTGCTTCCTGTTATGCTCATGATCCCTCCTGGCACCTCCTCACTCTTCCCCAAAATATGCATACATACATATTCACATACAAAGAATAAGAAATCTTATCTATAACCCCCCAGGCCAGAGAGAGCTTAGGCATCATCAAGAAATAGTGAAGGCCAAAGTCATCAGGTTATTAGAGAGAATCAAAGGCATTGGTTCAAAGTGGTAATAAGTGACAACCAGAAAATCTAACCACTTTTCAAAACTCTCAGGCATGTCTTCAAAAGTACTAGCTTTCTAATAGTCATGATGATAGGGACTAAAATTTTTTTTAAAGTTATTAAAGAAAATAATGCTTTAAATGGAGGTTGGAGAATTCAGACTATACTGGAATTGATTATTAATATAAGGACTACACACTTCTTTTAGAAAATGCAGGAAAAATACTAACTCAACACTAAGATGAGATGTCATTGAAATACACACTAATTTAGTTAAGGACACAATAAATGTCAAGGGCAAGAGAAACATAGGCTGTCACAGGAGGAAAAAAGATTTTTGAGAAAGAAGAAATCCAGGAAAAAGTAACTAACTAGACTACAAACTTGAGATCAGGTAAGCTAAGGTTTCTGTGGGTGAGGAGGGAACAAAAATCCATTGTCATTGGTCGATTTCAACTTTGTATCATTTGTGGATCTTATTAGCAAGAAAGAGAAAAACACAATGAATACTAAAGATTATTTGGGAAAACAGAAATGCTAAAAGATATAAAATCTTTCTTGAGAGGTATTGCTCAGAAGAAAATATGAGCATAAAATGCTTAATGTGAGTATGGATAATAATCATAGTAGGTAGTGGTTATTGCATATTATGATATATGTGTCATGCACAGTACAAGTCACTTGAAATGTTGACTTCAATCCTCCAAATGATCCTGCTCAGCAGGCATTACCTCCCTTGTACAAATACAGAAACTGAAGTGTTGAAAGATTAAAAGAGTTTCCCAAGCTAGAGGGAAATAGAGGAATGATTAAAACCAGGGCTGTCTAGTTCCAAGCCCCAGTCTTTTTTGCCAATGTCATTTTGTTTCTTACTTGAAGAAAAATTGTAATTGTAATTAAAAAGAAATAGAAATATAATCTCTTTGAAAATTTAGTTTTGTTTGATGGATATAGGCAGAATTTAAAACACACAAGATACATAATTTTCAATATATTTGACCAAATCCTGTAACATAAGAATAAATAAGTAAACCATACAAAAATTTAAGAGAAATCACCAAAGTACCCATTAAAGTGTTAGGCATTTTTAATGTTTAAAACCCCCATAATTTACATAAAGTAAAAATGCTAGAAAGCCATTTATGTTTATTCCCTTTGTCAATTATGTTCCAGATGCTGTACAAATTTCTGCCGGTCTTCCAAAGGAAGTATTTATTTTTCACTTACAAAGTACAAATACAGCTTCAAAAGGTTTAAGTTTGAGTTACCTGGTAGTCCTCAGGACTGAATGCTGTCAATGAAACGGTTCTAAATTCTGCCATAACCCTCCCCAGGAGTCCTTGTGCACGGACGACCAGTAACTGGATTTCTCCATCTTCCTCCTGCACAGTGATATGTGGAACACTGCTTGCAGGCAGGGTCACTGCATCCTCAGGCTGGGGAGGCAGTCCTGTGGAGAACTGCAGCACACCTGGTGGATACACACAGAGGAGGCCATTTGTACCTGTTACCTGTGGAACAATCCCTTATTCATTTGAAACTATCTTGCACAATAATTTTAATCACCAGGCTAAATTCTAAGGGAAGTCACTTAGAAAAGACATTAGCAATGATTTGATTAACATACCTTGACATGGCATATGTTTATAATCTTAAGAATGTTAAAAATTAAAATAATAATTTTCCTTGTCTTTACAAAAAAAAAATCCTTTTTCTTTTCTGCACAAGCATTAAAATAGCATGAGGTCTTAAAATACATATTTTCAAAGACTTATACATACTAGGAAGCTCTGATGGCATAGTGTCTTAAGGCATGTGACTGCTAATCAGAAGGCTGATGGTTCAAACCCACCAGCCACTCCTTGGAAGGAAGATTGGGAAATCCACTTCTGTAGAAATGCCACCTCAGAAACCCAAGGAGGTGTTGCTATGAGTAGCAATTGATTCAACAGCAATAATTGAGTATACATACTTGACTCTCTAGAATTCATTTGAAATTTACAGAAGAACCTAATTAATGGCAGGCACCCTGAGGGATTTACAACACTTTTTAAAATAATTTAACTATGAAAACCAGAGTTAAAGAGCCTCCCAGGTTTCCTACCTAGCCCTATTAACATATGTTCTTCTTGCTTTATTCCCATATAAAAAATATTACCCTTTAATAGAAAACACTCTCCATTTATTAGAATAGACATCTATGAGGGTCCATAAATTAATAAAATTATCACTTTTCATCATACAACAAAAAGATGTTGACATGACTATACCGTAAAAAATGTACTTGTGAAAATCAGCTAAATTTAAATTACAAATCACTTCAACTATGTAGGGGTTAACGTATCATAGTAGGATAATTTTTTACTTTTTTTAAAATGTGATAGCCATGACTAGAAATGCTTTTTTCATTTAAAATAATCCTGCATAATGTGTTGAAATTATCATATTATTAAATTTCAGAAATTGATCTTTGTATTTTCTTTAATAAACAGCATTCCTCAAAAGAATGCTTAAACATTAAAAGGCAGAGAAGGTATAGGGCCTGAAGGAATTCTGCTTCAATCATTTATGAAAAGCCTCTTAACTAGTCTTTTGCAAGTCTGAGTCCACCCAGAGAAGAGAGGATTATATTTGCAAAAGAGTTAGGTTACCATATGGATGATCACTAGCTTTGATAGTGATATCTGTCGTTTCCTTCTCAGGATCTATGCTTGCACCACTGGTGGGAGTTGAACCCAGTTTTCCATCTCCAGAAATTGCAGACACCAATGTCACACGAAAATACTCATTAAGTTCAGGAATATCATCATCAAGAACATATATATTCAGGACCTACACATGTAAAAATCCAGAGGAATTAAGAAGCAATTAAGCATGTAAAAATCACATACTGACAGGAATAAAAACAAATATATTTAATTGAAATTATTATTTTGCAGGGAGATCTGGTGGTGTAGTGCCTAAGGCATTTGACTGCTAAACAGATGGCTGGTGGTTCAAACCCACCAGCCACTCCTTGGAAGGAAGACTGGGCAATCTACTTCCATAGAGATACCTCCTCAGAAACCAAGGAGCGGTCCCTATGAGTCTGAACTGACTCAATGGCAGTGATTTTTTTTGGTGTTGTTGTTGTTTTAAGTATGACATTTCTACATGAATTTAAGCATTCAAATTTTATGTATGTGCATGTATGTGAACACAGTCCAGAAAACACACACAATTTCCAGACTCACCTGCAACTTGGTTTCTGGATGTAATTTGAGTGTATTTAGATTCAAGTGTATACAATCCCAGAACATCTGGAAGGCAAGAGTGAAGTGCAAGCCACACTACTGCTATTTGTGCTTACGAGTACATCACCGAGCGTTAGCAAACATCTCAGTATACAGTCACTGCATTGTAAGCACTGAGAAGCTGGTATAGAGTTACCAGGCATAAGGCTAAAAGCTGCAATGATGATTTCCTGGTACATAGTTCATGGCAAGATGATGTGCTCTTATAGGAAACAGTTCTGGCAAGCTTCCTAATCATGGATTGGAGCTAAGGGAATGAATTCCTAAAGACCAGTCCAGTGATAACTCCTTAATTCTTTTCTTAATTGTGATTTGGGTGAAGATTTATAGTGCAAATTCATTTTCCATACAACAGTTCACATATACTTTGTCTCATGACATTGACCACAGTTTACCACAATGCAACAGCTCCCCTCCCCCTTCCTTCCCTTAGTTACCTCTTCCCAGTGTCCTTCTCTCCATACCATCCTACCCCCGGAGCTGTCTCCCTGTGCATAAGCAACCCTTCTTTCTCCCATGATTGTTCTCTCCAAGGAGTGTAGCTACCTGAAGTAAATGTTCAACTCATATGCCTGTCTTTTGTTTGGCTGGAAACCATGGGTGTGGGTTCAATTCCAGACCTGAAGGGCAGCTAGGGGCCATAGTCTCAGTGACTCCACCAGGCTCTATCGGACCACCAAACTTTGTCACCACCTTTTTTTTTTTTCCTCACAATGATTTTGAGTTTTGTTCCACATTGTTCTCCCTCTCTATCAAGGATCTCCTACATAGATCCCCTTCCAAGTGGATAACAGTGGTAGCCGGGCACCATCTGGTTCTTCTGGTCTCATAGTCATATAGACTACAGACTGGATGGTGTACCAGTCG